ACCATCTCACCATCCCACCATATCAATACAGCCACCAACCTGGGATATGATATGTAACCACTAGTGTACAAATGTTCAGCTGCTTGCATTGCAGCAGTTGGGGAAAGACCCATACCCTGGAGTATAATTTTTATTAAGCAGGCAGAGAATATTTAGCTGTAACTTAGTTACTGAGTGAGTCTGAATTAGTGAGTCAGTGAGTTAGTGAATTAGTGAGTTTGTGAGCCAGTGAATTTGCAAGTCAGTAGGTTTGTGGGTCAGTGAGTTAGTGAGTTAGTCAGTAAGTGAGTGAGTCAGAGAAACAGAGAGTTAGTGAGTCAATGACTCAGTGAGTCAAGTCAGTGAGGGAGTGAAAGTGAGGCAGTGAGTGAGTGAGCGAGTGCTTTAGTAAGTGAGCGAGAATGAGAGAGTGAGCAAGAGTGAGTGAGTGAGTAAGCGAGAGTGAGTGCTTTAGTAAGTGAGTCGTTCAGTCAGTGAGCGAGAGTAAGTGAGGGAGGGAGTGTGTGAGTGAGTGTGTGAGTGAGTGAGTGTGTGAGTAAGTGAGTGAGTGCATTATTAAGTGAGTCATTCAGCCAGTGAGCGAGAGTAAGTGAGTATGAGTGAGTGAGTGAGTGAGTGTGCCAGAGTGAGTGAGTGAGTAAGCAAGAGTGAGCGAGTTAGGGAGTCAGTAAGTCAGTAAGATAGTAAAAAGTCGGTAAACAGTCAACCAGCCAGTCTTTGGTTACCTTTGAGCATGACTTGAGGAGGGTGACAGTATTCAATCCTGACAAATATTCGTATGTACAAAGAAGATTTAAAATTTGGTGATGGTGATGGCCCAACCTTTTTTGGGTTAAAAAAGTAGATGTTAGTTCCACATTTATTGAAAATATATTTCGGCCTGGGTTGACCCTCGTCAGTTCTTGAGATTGTTTCTTCACAAAGATTAAAAACAAAGAAGATATAATAATCTCTTTAAATCCCTGACTGCCAAGACATTAAGACAGTATATCAACTCTTCACTATGACTTATTCTGCAGGCCAATATTTAAAATGCTTTGTTAGATACACAGTTAATCAAACAATCAGTCAATCAATCTTCTTAAGGTGTTAGTTCCACATTTGATGAAAACATATTTTGGTCTGGGTTGACCCTTTTCAGTTCTTGAGATTTGATTCTGTCATGAAGATTCAAAACATTCTCTCAAAGTCAAAAGTTTGGTATTTTGTGAGATTGTTCTTCAAAATGTTAAGTGGACTTTTTTCCCCATATGGTGCATAAAAATACCATGCACCCCCCCCCCCCCCCCC